TGTGTCAGTTGCCAGTTGGAAAATTGGACCGTCGCTCATCCAGAGAGGAGTGCGCCCCATCCACGCGTCCAACCAGAAGCAGCGTATTCCCCGTTATTGATATCAAATCGTGCCCCGACCGCGAAGGACGGTTTCATTGCCTGGATCCCATTCCAGAAAGGTGAGCCCCTACATTTGGACGTGAACAAGTTCCCGTCCGGGAAGTATTTTGCTCGCAGCAGATCTACCAAAGACCGTGCTCGTTTTGCGACAACCGCCATATCCACTTGGTGAGGAGGGCAATGATACATCTCCAATGTATCTATAATTTATGAAGTATTCATACCATGTTTACAACAATTTTATATGGTTTTGGTATGATTTGATTGGAACGAACCTGGACTTACGCTATTTTCAGCAGAACTACCGTGTTGTTGTTTTTTGTGCAGAAATAAAAGTTCTCGGAATTGGCTGAAAATTTTTGGTGATTTTTTATGGACCAAAAGAGACCCCCGAAACACTGGAGCTGGGCCATGAAGTGGACGAGGAGTCCCCAATCTCACTAGGCGCGCCCTACCCCCCAGGGTGCTAGCTTCGAGCTTGTGGACCCCTCAGGCACCCCCTTCACGTGAGTCTGATGCCAAAAAATCCTATAAATACCAAAAACCCTGGAAAAAAACCTAGATGAGAAGTTTCGCCGCCTCAAGCCTCTGTAGTCACGAAAAACCAATCGGGACCCTGTTCCGCAACCTTGCCGGAATGGGAAATCATCACCGAGGCCATCTTCATCATCCCGGCGCCCACCATGATGAGGAGGGAGTAGTTCACCCTCGGGGCTGGGTATCTACTAGTAGGTATGTGTTTGATCTCTCTCTCTCTCTCTCTCTCTCTCTCATGTGTTCTTGATTTGGCATGATCTTGATGTATGGCGAGCTTTGTTAATATATTTGGATCTTATGGTGTTCTTTGCTCTCACCTTCTTGTGATGAATTGAGTCTTGCTCTTTGAGGTTTCATCATGTTTGATTGAATATTGGATATGAGAACACTTGATGTATGTCTTGCATATGGATACCCGTGGTGATAATGGGGTATTATATTGATTCACTTGATGTATGTTTTAGCACTCAACTTGTGGATTCCCAAGGTTCCATTGGGGTATTCTATGCATAGGGGTTGATGCACATTTTCATCCAATGTCCACCGGTAGAAACTTGGAGTGATTCTTCGTTGCACGTTGAGGGATTGTTATATGATCCAATTATGTTATTATTGTTGAGAGATTTTGCACTAGTAAAAGTATGAACCCTAGGCCTTGTTTATAAGCATTGCAATACCATTTGTGCTCTGTTTTATCATTTCTTACCTTGCTTTTTTTATTTTCAGATTACAAAAACCTATATCTACTATCCATACTACACTTGTATCACCATCTCTTCACCGAACTAGTGCACATATACAATTTACCATTGTATTTGGTGTGTTGGGTACACAGGAGATTTCTTGTATTTGATTGCAGGGTTATTTGAGAGAGACCATCTTTATCATATGCCTCCCACAGATTGATAAACCTTAGGTCATCCACTTGAGGGAAATTGCTACTGTCATACAAAACTCTGCGCTTGCAGGCCCAACACGAGTCTACAAGAATAAGTTGTGTAGTAGACATCAAACTCCTTTCTGGCGCCGTTGCCGGTGAGGTGAGTGCTTGAAGGTATATCGTTAGATCTTGCAATTAAATATTTTAGTTTTTTTGTTTTATCATTAGTTTAGTTTTATAAAAGAAAAGTGCAAAAAATAGAATTGAGGTTGCCTCATATTATTCATCTTTATAATGTTTTTCTTGAAAACGATGGATCAGAAAATTGTGCCAAAGTTTTAGAAAAAGTCAATAAAATGTTTGGCACTAAATCTTTGAATGATGAGCATGATTGTAATGATGTTAGTATGAATTCTTTGAATATCCATGTTGCTAATGATATGCAAGGTCATAAGCTTGGGGATGCTATATTTGATGAAGATGATATTTTTAGTCCCTCAAGTTTTGATGAGAATATTTATTATGATGATTCAATGCCTCCTATTTTTTATGATTACAATGATGAAAGTGAGTTTGGAAGGGTGACAACTTTAGATAATAATTATCCCACTATTTTGGAGGGTGTTGAATCTTATTATAATGATAAAAGTGGATTTGGAGAGGTTATGGTTTTATTTAGTGATGAATCCTTTATTTTTGGAAGAGGTTCTAATTTATTATGACAACAAAGTTGCTATTTATGATGATTATTGTGATGACACTTATGATATAAAAATAGTTATAACCATGGAACTTGTCATCATAATTTTAATTCTAAATATGAGTATGCCAATCAAGTATCACATGATAGTTATTTTGTTGAGTTTGCTCCCACTATTATGAATGAGAAGAAATTTACTTATGTGGAGACTAATAAAAATTTCTATGCTAGTGGATCATGAAAAGAATGCTTTATGTGATAGTTATATTGTTGGATTCATTCACCTTTGGCTTCGCCCAGAAGGCAAGTCCGAGCGTGCCTTGGGCTCGGGGACTACTATCGGCGTTCTGGATACGGGGGTACCCAGAATTGCCTGCCTGCGGCCCACGATGTGGCTCCATTGACGGCCTGGTACGACCCAGCTTCAACATCAACAACTCAAGACCCTCGCGAGGGGTCAAGCCTCGCGAGGCGGACGACACCAAGACCTCCACGGGGATCGTCCCCCTCAGGATGGCTCCCGAGGAGCGGAGATTTCTATGCAAGGTCCACCTCACGAGGCTCAGCTGACGTGAGCCATGAAGGCCAGGCGGGCGCCAGGCGGACGCCAGCGGACGCAGTGTACCAGTTTCCTCTTTGGTGCAAAGGAGGCAAGCAGCAGGCGCGGAGTCCCGAGGAATCAACCAAAGGTTTCCATTTTGATGCAACAAGACCAAGACCGCCAGGACGGCAGGACGGAGGTCATCGCCGAGCCCACCGCAGCGTCACGACCGGAGGCTATTATAGGTGAAGACCACTTTAGTCAGGATAGGACGTACTTGTTGTCTCCCTTCAAATTTGGCCGTTGTGGGATCCCTTCCCGCCAATATTTGGGAAGAGGACCAAAGGCCACTATAAATAGGACCTAGCCACCACCATAGAAGGGGATCGGATCCATTCCACCCTCACCACCTCACCAGCTCATCTGAGCCCAAGAACACGCCTCCTGAGGCTGTTCTCCACTGTAATAGTTCTTCCTCAGCCCCTCGAGGCAAATCCACCACAAAGCAGGAGTAGGGTTTTACACCGCAAGGTGGCCCGAACCTGGATAAACTGTCGTGTCTCTCTTTTCCTTCGAGCTCATCGTGCTAGGCTGTGAGGTTTGCGAGTTGGCAGGCTGGGTAGGTTGAGATCTCCGCACGCACCCCAGAGTTCGAACCTCTCAATGGTTTGCGGAACCGAAATCCGACACAATTTTGTCTTATGTTCTCCGCTAGATAAGAACTTGGGAGTGATTCTTCATCGCACGTTGCAGGATGGTTATATGATCCAATTATATTAAAGCAACAAACAATTAAAGGTGGAGATTTACCAATTTTAATTTAAGAAGTTTTAACGGTGGAGATTTGCG